GGTGACCCAGAACGCCTGCGGACGGGTGACCCAGAACGCCTGCGGACAGGTGGCCCAGAATGCCCGCGGACGGGTGGCCCAGAACACCTGTGGACGGGTGCCCCAGAACACCTGTGGACGGGTGCATAAGTCTCAGTTTGCAATCATTCAGTTCAAGCTTGATCACTTAAAAATTGTTTCTCTTCTGCACTTCTTTTGGCAACACATGTAGATGGTGTGATTAAATAACAGTGCATTGAAGTACGCCTTGTAAATTCAATAATTCATACTGAAATATTAGCTGCTCCTATAAATTGGATTTGTTCTGCCTCAAACTTGTCCTAAATGCCGACAAAACCAAAGGGATGCTTTTTTCAAATAGGAAGTTGGTCCCAGCACTTCTTCTTCCGATTTCATCCTCAAATGGTGTCCCGATTGTGTTTGTTGATTCCTATAAATATTTGGGTATCTTGGTCGACTCACGTCTCTCTTTTAAGCTCCATGTGGAAAACTTGATAAAGAAACTGAAAGTTAAACTGAGTTTCTTTTTTCAGAAACAGATCCTGTCTAACCCTGAATGCTAGGAAACTTCTTGTATCTGTGACTTTCCTTCCCTCCATTGATTACTGTGACATTATTTACATGAACGCTCCTACAAGAACCCTGCTGATGTTGGATGCTGTCTATCATGGTGCACTAAGATTCATAACTGGCTGTGATTATCGTACCCACCACTGCACCCAGTATTCACTTGTTAACTGGACATCATTAACTTCACGCAGACTCTCTCACTGGTACATTTTCATCTTTAAATCACTTCTTGGTCTGCTGCCTTCATACATCTCCTCCTACATGTCTCTGCATGAGTGCAGCTATGGCGTGCGCTCTCAGGACATTATTACCTGCAGTGTTCCCTCAATGAGGACTGAACTAGGCAAGAGGGCCTTCTCCTACTCCCCTCCTGTTTCCTGGAATACCTTACAAAAACATTTCAAGCTCTCGACCTTGACCTCTCTAAGTGGCTTTAAGAATCTGTTGGACTCCTGGCAGGGGCCAATGCAGACATGTTCCTGTTTTTAGTTTTCTACATTCGCCTTAGAATCTAGCTGTTTTTTTTTTTTTTATTACCTTTTTTTTTAGCCATCCTATTTGTTTAAAAAAAAAAAAAACTGGAGTATGACTTTTTATAACTGTTTATTGTTGTCACTGTTGTCCATTGTTGTCATCATTCTTTGTTGAAATCAGGTCTCTCTTGTAAATGAGTCCTCGAGGCTCAATGGAATTTACCTGTCTAAATAAAGGTTGAATTAAACTGAGAAAATTTGGGTTCAAATTTCCATTTACATTGACTGTTCTCATTAATACAGTTTATTTGTTTTCAATGCAGGATGTTTATATAGAAACATCAGTACGTTTTGTGGGTTACTGTAAATTTTTAAAATGCGATCAAATAATGTCCCAATTACCAGCAAAGTGCACTTCAGTATTGTAATGGCAATTTCTTTAAATACATGTCCCACTTAGTTATGTGTTCTTCTGTCCTTAGTCTCCACCCAGAGAGGGCAGCCAGGGTGAGCTGACACCAGCCAACAGCCAGACCAGGATGAGTACCAATATGTGAGAATCGCTCTTCATCATTCACCATCGCTCTTAGACTTTTTCACGAAATACCTGAATCCCAAGTTTCTAAAACTATCTGTTGGATTGATGTTGGGAGTAACAATTTATAAAGATGAGTGTGTTTAAATTAACCTAAGATCTTGAGTCGTAAATGACTAACAAGAAATGCATTTAAAATCTGGATGGAGAACTCATTGTGAGCTGCATTTGAAATAAAAAAAAAAACTTTAAAACGATTAACTTTGTGATTGTTTTATTGTTTGCCATCAGGAAAGACAGGAAACTTGTGTAATCACCTACATGTGTGTTTGTTTGTCTGTATAGTAGCAAAATATCTAATAAACTACTGGACAGATTGTAATAATCTTTCAGAAATCATTTACTAAACATATCATTTTACAAACTAAAAAAGCTGCGCCAAAGTGCTATTAGGCAAAAACAGCCATCCATTATTTTCCGCTTATTCCGAAGTCGGGTCGCGGGGGCAGCAGCTTGAGCAGGGAGGCCCAGACATCTCTTTCCACAGCCACCTCTTCCAGCTCTTTTGGGAGGATTCCAAGGCTTTCCCAGGCCAACAGAGAGACATAGTCTCTCCAGTGTGTCCTGGGTCTTCCCCGGGGTCTCCTCCCAGTTGTACATGCTCAAAGCACCTCTCTAGGGAGGCGCCATGGGGGCATCCTTACCAGATGCCCGAACCACCTCAACTGGCTCCTCTCAATGTGGAGGAGTAGCAGTTCTACTCCGAGTCTCTCCCGAATAACTGAACTTCTCACCCTATCTCTAAGGGAGAGTCCAGCTACCCTGTGGAGAAAACTCATTTCAACCTCCTGTATCCGCGATCTCATTCTTTCGGTCACTACCCAGAGCTCATGACCATAGGTGAGGGTAGGAACGTAGACCGACCGGTAAACAGAGAGCTTTGCCTTACAGTTCAGCTCTCCACCACAACAGACCGGTACAGAGTCCACAATACTGCAGATGCTGCACCAATCCGTCTGTCAATCTCACGCTCCATTCTTCCCTCACTCGTGAACAAAACCACGAGATACTTGAACTCCTCCACTTGAGAACCTCACCCTCGACCTGAAGAGGGCAATCTACCCTTTTCCGGTAGAGGACCATGGCCTCAGATTTGCAGGTGCTGATTCTCATCCCAACCGCTTCACACTCTGCTGCAAACCGCTCCAGTGAGAGCAGGAGCTCACAGCACAATGAAGCCAACAGGACCACATCATCTGCAAAGAGCAGAGATGGAATCCTGAGGCCATCAAACCGGAAACCCTCCGCCAGCTGGCTGCACCGAGAAATTCTGTCCATAAAAGTTATGAACAGAATCGGTGACAACGGGCAGCCCTGGTGGAGTCCAACTCCCACCCTGAAGGGGTCTGACTTACTACCGACAATGCGAACCAAACTCTTGCACCGCTTGTATAAGGACTGAACAGCCCGTAACAACGGGCCTCCAATCCCATACTCACGGAGCACCACCCACAGTGTACCCCGAGGAACACGGTCGAATGCCTTCTCCAAGTCCACAAAACACATGTAGACTGGATGGGCAAACTGTCATGACCCCTCAAGGACCCTAGTGAGGGTAAAGAGCTGAGCTGATCCCTTAGATAGAGAACTTTACTAATTTGCTCCAAAAAAGTTCAATCTGGTCCTCTGGACATTCAAAAAACAAGAAAACAAAAAAAAACAAAGTAAAGCAAAAAAAAATGTACAAACGTTTCGTCTCTCATCTGAGAGACTTCCTCAGTCTGAGGTGCTGTATTCAGTTCAGTCTTATAAGTAGCACCTTCTCAGAGTGGATCAACCAGTTTTGCTGCTGACAACCAAAACCAGCTGCTCACATGATCAAGGAGGACCATCAGCCTAACAATGGATCATTAGCACACTGATGGCTGTTTACTATTCACAGGGGGTTGAGTGATCCTAGCAATCACAGCATTGTAAGAGGGGGACAGTTGAACCCGGAGGCCTCCACCCCTGTTTAACAATGGACGGTGTCTTTTCACAAAGATGGCCTCCTTTATTCCTCTCTCAAACCATCGTTCCTCTCTGTCCAGGATGTGAACATCTTCATCCCTGAAAGAGTGACCGCTGGCCTGGAGATGAGTGTAGACCACAGAATCCTGGCCTGATGATGTTGATCTTCTGTGCTGGGCCATCCTTTTGGCCAGTGGCTGTTTAGTTTCCCCAATTTAAGACTGATCACAGCCCCCCTGACACTGAACAGCATACACAATATTACTCTGTTTGTGCCGGGGGACTGGATCTTTGGGATGAACCAGTCTTTGCCGTAATGTATTTTGGGGTTTAAAAGCCACTGGGACGTTATGTTTAGAAAATAAACGTCTCAGTTTCTCTGATACTCCCTCAACATACGGAATGACCACTGGTCTGGGTCTGGGTTCCTCCTTTTCACCTGTAGGCTGACTGGAGTCCTGTTTGGGTTTCTTCTCTGCTTTCAGGAAGGCTCAGTTAGGATATCCACATTGCTCTAGAGCCTGTTTTGTGTAGGATTTCTCCTTCTGCCTGGCTCCTGAGCTAGTGGGGATGCTGTCTGCTCTGTGATACAGAGTCCTGATGACTCCTAACTTGTGCTCCAAAGGGTGATGGGAGTCAAACTGCAAATACTGGTCTGTATGGGTGGGTTTGCGGTACACCTCAGTTTGCAAATGTCCTCTATCAGAGACTGAGACCTCACAGTCCAAGAAAGCCAACCTGCCATTTTTTACATCTTCTCGTGTGAACTTGATGTATTTATCCACAGAGTTGATGTGGTCAGGAAAATGTTGGACTTCCTAAGATTTAATTTTAACCCAGGTGTCGTCAACATACCTGAGCCAATGACTTGGTGGTGTCCCTGAAAAGGACGTCAAGGCTCTCTTTTCTTCCTCCTCCATGTACAGGTTGGCAACAATAGGAGAAACTGGAGACCCCATAGCACACCCATGTTTCTGCCTATAATATTGCTCCCCATATGTGAAGTAGGTTGACTGCAGGCACAGTTTCAAGAGTTGACACAGTTGTTGTGTGGAAAGCGTGGTCCTGCTGCTCAGAGTGGTGTCTGATTTTAATCTTAAACTGACCACCTCTACTGCATCCTCAACAGGAATCAACCTACTAGAAAGTACTCAAACACTGTACTTAAGTAAAAGTACAAATAAACAGACAAAAATGTACTCTAGTAAAAGTAGAAGTACCACATTAAGGTTGTTACTTAAGTAAAAAATAATTGCTTTTAAAAATACTTAAAGTATTAAAAGTAAAAGTACTTACTGAATTATTACCTAATGCAATGGTCTACAATACCATTAAGTATTCCTACTGTATGGATATTTTCTATAATACATTAATAGTGTTCCATTTTACTGAACATTGAACCGTGGCAGCACGGTGGCGCAACTGGTAGAGCTACTGCATCTCAGCGAGCTCGTCCCCGGTTCAAATCTCGGTCCAGGGGCCTTTCTGGGTGGAGTTCTGGGTGGAGTTGGCATGTTCTCTCTGTACATGCATGGGTTTACTCTGGGTACTCCGGTTTCCTCCCACAGACCAAAAACATACATGTTAGACTAATTGGTAACTCTAAATTGTCCTTAAGTGTGAGTGAGAGAGTGAATGGTTGTTTGTCTCGTTTGTCTCTTTAGCCCCTTATCCACGGGTCTTTTTGGTACTCCTATGTAACTAGTTGTGGCCGATTGCGGGTTTTATCAACAGTGCCTCTAGTGGTGGAACCCACCCCATTTTTGGGACCTAAATCACTGAGGTCCCAGGTCTGGTTCTTTTAGGGTCTAGTTGTGACATCAGCGCACTGTAGATCACTGATTGGTCAGGGGGCGTATTCATTGGTGGAGGGCGGAGATTCAGTCTTCCACCGGAAATCACAATCCACCATTTTCTTTTTCACCCGCATAACAGACAACAAGTAATCGGAGGAGCTTATTTTGGAATATTTTATAAGGTAAAACAAATAGTCATGGCACAACCGTGGTCGAATGCTGAAGTTCAGGCATTTCTCTGTTTGCTGGCCGATGAACAAGTGCAGCGCGAGCTAGATGGAACGAAACGAAATGAAAAGATTTTTCAAGAGGTGTCTGCGCAGATGGCGGTGCAGGGCTTCCATCGCACACCAAAGCAAAGAGGAAAGCTTAAAAAACTAATAGTTGATGGTGAGTGTATTTTATTTACTTTAAGCATATTTCCTTTTCCTCATGCAACCGTTTCTTTGCGTTTTCTGAAAGTACTCTGAACAAACGAGGCTGACTCGGTTACGTCGTCATTAGTTAGCATCATTGCTAACTGTACTCTGTTGCTGTTTTTCCACTCTTATTTTGATGCAGAAAGTCCCACTGAAGATGAAGGTTCGCCAGATTCTGCTTTTGACTGTCCAATCCTCCCCGCTTCTGACCCTTCCCGACCACACCAGCTCCAAGTACATCCACGCCACCGGGCACATCCACGCCACCGGGCACATCCACGCCACCGGGCAACACGCAGCAGAGCGGCACCAAACAGCACCCGTTACTAGGTAAGAAGCAACAATCGTGTTTAACATCACATTGATCATGTCGATATGAATGTTGTTTTGTTTTTGTTGTAAAACACCTTGCATGTATTCAAACTACTTGTTTATTCAGTTGTAATGTATAAATGTTAAATTTAACTATTAATTTATTACTTAAACTTTCATTTATGAAGTTTATTATTGAAATAATACAGGGTGTAGTGATTTTTGTTCAGATTAACGATGCTCTGTTCTTTTTCTAAATTAGCACAAGCCGTTGTAAATGACTACATGTAGTTTATTTATGCCCACCTGCTTACTATCATTAAAGTACTAGACTGCTTTATGAACAGAATCATTTCTGATCTTGTAAACAAACACCTTTTGAAATTAGCAGGAACTTTAATGTAAATAATTTATTTAAAAACTCTACCTGTACTTCATCATCTAACAGCCATTTTCTTGTGTGTTATTCCTAGGCAATAGAAAGCGCAGATCAACAAGTGCAGCAGAAAGCTTTGTTTCTGCACATACAGAACAAGAGGAGATGAACCGGAAGCAGAGAGAGGAACACTTCCATTTTATTTGTGAGGATGCCAAAAAAGCAAGGCAAGAAGAAGCTGCAGCAGCGAGGAAGCAGGAGAAGGCAATTAGGAGGGAGGAGATGGCCTTGAGGAGAGAGGAAGCAGATGTTCGCAGAGAGGAAGCAGCACAG